CGTTCTTTCAAAGACCAGTGCCAATCTTTACACCAGAGGACCCAGTGTGGTATGAAAACAAGCCTCTAGGTGTCAACAAGTTGGGTGATATGATGAAGTCAATCTCTATCGGAGCCGGCTTGTCAAAAGTCTACACGAACCACAGTGTCAGAGCAACAGCTATCACCATGTGGTCAAATGCTGGAATCCCGACTCGTCACATAATGAGCATCTCTGGACATACCAATGAACAGAGTATTCTATCTTATAACAGAAGACCATCGGTCCAGCAACTAAAGACCTGCTCGGACGTGATTTCCAGTGCATTGACCGATTCAGAGGGCGAGAGTAGAAGGCTTGATCGAGATCCCAGGGCTGTTTCGTCTACTTCCACTTCTGTACAGGTTGTACAGTCTGAGATGGCCATTAACTCCATTCCAGAGTCGATCTTCAATGGCTGCTCTATCCAGAACGTGAATGTCTATGTTGTCAAGCGAAATTGACATTGCTTTTCTTAGCTGAACTTATTAGGCCATGCGCACGCTATTGGTGTACAATCTAAAGATTCGAAATTTGAAGCTTCAACATTGTTTTAAAGATTCGAAATTTGAAGCTTCAACATTGTTTTATTTTGCTTCTAATTTTATCTCCGCTAAATAAATCCGAATGAGATTCGACGTCGTAAATATTTGACAGTCAAAGATTATTTGTTGCTCTAAAAGATTCTTATAAAAACAGTGTAATAAGCAAAAAATAAAAACCGAAGAATCTCTGTCACGACCTTACTCCAAAATGTAGCGTAACATTAGTGTCATCTCAAGAGTAAATTGCATTCAAAACTACCGTGAGTTTCATCCATATCGTTCCAAAGTTATCGCCCGTTTAGTTCCAAAAAAAATCGTGCGCATCGTCCCTATGAACCCAATGTTTTTTCACTATTGTCCCAAAGTTGCCGAAAATTACCGCCTCTATCGCGCCATTTTCCCCCCACTCTTTTGTGCCGAGTTATCGTGCATACCGTTCCTATAGTCCCAATGGTATCGTTGTATTAAACTGCAAAGTTTTACAGTCAAACAAGCTCACGCGTTGACCCCTAGATTCGATTAATGAAATCATTAGTCAATTATTCCTTTTTTACGTACGAACCGGAATAATGGAATATTGCAATATTCAAATGAAAATTCAGTTCATTATTCGACTCGTGATGAAGAAGGTAAATCATCTAAATTACAGATACCTTCGAGCAGAAGTCGCTCTCTTATTTCATAAGCATACACACTAGGTTTTGTAATTTCCATGCCTCAATTACTTGGAGGATAAATTTTGTAGGGAGCGCTCCCGCCTTGAGCGAAATGGAGACACAGTTCCATGTCGTCGATAATGTTGAAGTATTTTCTGGACTCCACAACTAGACATTTTCAGTTGTCACGAAATTGCTTTATTGGACAATCCGCTATTGCTGAGATGAACAATTTCCTGTCGAATAATATCAGGTTAAGGCTTTCCCTGCACATAAACACGGCCAAGACTATTTCTGGCCGCCATGTTTTCTTGGTCTTCCGGCTGTGTTAGCACTGATAAACCAATCAAAATGTCGTATATTGAATTTAAAGTTGATGGGAATTTTCATATCTTCGCTTTCGACGTTGTAAATTTCAACTAAATAATGAAATCAAAATTCGAAAATTCAAATCATTAATCGACTCTAGGGGTCAACGCGTGAGCTTGTTTGACTGTAAACTATCTTCTGTGATCAATCAACTTCACAATCAATTAATTAATCCAATCATTTGTAGGTTTGCATATAAGAGATTTGACATTTCACTCCCCGAACTGTAATTAATGCAATAAAAGTGAACGTTTTTGTATGTTTTATGTAGCTTGTCGTTTTTTGTCTTTCTTTAATTAATTCTGCATACTTTACCTTTCACTATACTTWGCTTCTGTTTTCAGATTAAGATCCCACAATAAACACTTTGAAAAGCGTAATACGTTACATTTATGTTTTTTTTTATTACACCAGTTTATCATCCCGCGTTCACGGACGATAGGCACGTCTTAATTAATGCACAATTGGGGCGAAATATTCAAAATATTTGGTACGATATGTACGGAACATTCAGAAACTTTTGGGATGATAGGTGCGATACTTTTAGGCACGATAAGGACGATATGCGTGAAAAGTTTATTCTTGATTGGGGAGAAAGGCATGTTTTAACGCGGGCGAATTTTCTTGCTATTTTTCAARCGATTCTAACGCTTGTTTTTTCAACTTTTCTCTGGAAGTTTGAGCCCTAAGCTGTTGAAAGTTTCCACAATTGTAGGGAGTTTCATGTGCACCTGGACACGACAAAATAATTTTAATAATGACAGAAAATAAAGATTTCATTCGAAATTTACCTCAATCGTTTTTTTTTTCACAAATAGTGATACCTGTTTTATTTATCTCTCTATATTCTTAACCTTTTGTTTTAAAGCAAAATCAAGTTATTTTTAAGGTGCACATGAACTGCAGATTTTTTCTGTGAAATTTCATGAACAAATGTTTTGTAGTTGTTGAGAAAATATGCAAAATATAGCGTTAGAAATTTGTTACGCGATTGTACACCAATAGCGTGTGCATGGCCAGTAAGCTTCGTTTTTTAGAACCTTTGAGTTCTGACTCAAACTCTTTTCGACTTAGCTAAAAAAGCCATTTATAAGTAAATGTCAAAAGTTTTGACCAATAGCAAGCATTCTTTCACAGTGGCTGTCAAAGAACTGTCAAAATTAGCCAATCACAGCGTAGGAAGTTTGGTTGTGAAATGTTGACGTGYTTTATGAAAAAACTTTTGTAAGTTATAAAATAACCTTTGAAGTTTTCAAAAGTAAATAACCGAATAACCTTCGTTTTACTTCTGTACTCTGTCCTCTAATGATCATGAAAACTAACTATCTTAGCGAAAATATTCAAAAGCTCACAATAATCGGATCTGTTTGGTCTATCGCCTTGCTTTCCTTGAATGACAAATTTTTGAAAAATTTTTCGCTTATTTTATTTTGTAAACATTTCGCAGTTTGTTGTAAAAAACAGATCGCACATAGATTTCCATTGTCTGTCCTCTTATTGATCATAGATGACGTCTTAAAATGTTCAAAACTTTACAGTGAAACCACTTTAGTTTCGAACATTTTAAGACGTCATCTATGATCAATAAGAGGACAGACAATGGAAATCTATGTGCGATTTGTTAAGTAGATAACATAAGAGATATTCAAATGTGCTGTAAACTCTATTTTCTATCATAAATCCGTGAAATCCGTCAAAAATCCCTTCCGAGCTTCGTCGAACCGCGTGTATTTTTTTTGAAAGAGGACTTAGAACGAGGGCCGCTCGACTGAAATTCAAAACGCACCGTGATTGGTCAGTTCACGCGCTCTCCGGACAGCTTATTCTTCTCGTAGTGTGGTTGCTATAAAAATCCTATTGTGGACGCGAACCTTATGGTACGTCTTTGGTAAGACGAAAACGGATTAGAGTATCATAATATATATGCATTAGAGTGCAAGTGGCTTTTTTGAGAAAACCCTATTAATTAGTGGTTGAATGGCCTGTCAGTGAAAGGGCTAGCTGGTTCCTATTGTAATACTTACCTTCGGTGAAGATAGTATTCTACAGGTCTCTGGTCAAACATGGCCGAGTCAACATCATTTGTTACCATTAGTATAACGGCCCTTTAAGAAAAAATATATAATTATATGTTTATAACAAAAGTTCATACCCATGCCTTATGCCCTTAGAATAACAAACTTTAAAAACTATGCCTCTCCGCCTTCCTTGTCCCTGGGGATCCCCTGGACATCCCTTGTCTATCCCCTTGTACAAAATCCCCTTAACTACCATGTTTCTCCCATCCCCTTGTCCCTGGGGATCCCCTGGACATCCCTTGTCAATTCCCTTGTCTCCCTTACCATTACCTACTGTGTCTCTCCCATTCCCTTGTCCCAGAACATCTCC